TATTGGTTAAGTGATTCGTGTGGAATGTTTGGTGCAGCGGATAATAAAAGTTCAAAGGATATGTTTCTTCGAACTTGCAGTGCAGAGTCATTGCGCTTAATATGGGTGCGCTGATTGCTGGCGCGCAGCACAGAGGGCTGTTTGAGGAGCGACTGAAAGCGGTCTTGAAGGAAGTGAAAAAGTCGAAGATCCCAATTATATTGTTCACCCAAGACACTTACACGGTCTTGGGTGCCGGTGCAACTAAAGAGGGTGTAATGGATGCAGCAAACATCCTGAGGCCGATATTGTCGAGAGGGGAGTTGTGGTGCATTGAAGCGACAATACAAAAAGTGTGTTGAGAAAGACGCTGTATTTAAGAAACAATTTCAGTAGTTCTACGTCGCAAAGCGAAAAGGACACTCAGTACATCATGAGAGGCATCATAGAGAAGTATAAAAACCACCATATACTGAAATACACTGATTCGGCTGTTGTTATAGCTGTCAAAGAATGACATTGATACAAACTTCTTGCCATATAAGCAATCGATTTGGTCATTAGGCCTGTGTAATACTCTTTACACAAAAAACTCACAACCAGAGGAGGTCGACAACTTGGAAAGAAAAGACACACAACTGACAGTTAAGAAGATCGCAAATGAGGGAGCTGAAGCAGACAACAAGTGATCTTGAGGTTGCCGCAGACTTGAAGTATTGTGCCATTCCAGAGGCAGAGAAGCGACGCACAAAATTGAAGAACCAGACAAAAGAGACATCGGTGTTGTCGTCGTAAGTGACCCTACAGCCTATTGAAGATGTGGGGCAAATGGACAAGCAACTTATTAAGCAGAATGACACAGACAGAGCGAAAAGACAAGACTCCTTAAACTTGGTGACGAGCCGCACAAAAGAATTGTAAGGCAGGACGAGGCTGTGACTGCAGTCTCTGAGGCCATTCTGAGAAGCACAAGTGGTCTTGGCTCAGACAAGCGACCGATTGGGCCATTCATTTTTTTGTAAATTTACCCTCATTTACGATGAGGGTAAACAATCGACAAAAGCGGTCAAAAGAAGCCCATACAGCGTTGTTCTGTTTGATGAGTCAAAAAGGCGCACCAGCATATGTTTAATGTGTTGCTGCAGGTGCTCGATGACTGGCGTCTTATAGATGGAAGAGAATAACAGTTGACTTTAATAACACGGTCAACTTCTTCATGTGCGTGTTGTTCGACTGTTTGTAACTCTTAGCAGCTTGTTCTCGAAATTCCAACTCTGTGTTTTACTCAGACATATTGTCTTCAAGTTTGTCACATTCGCCTTGTATTTCGCCAAATTAAGTTTTTGTTTTGGTTAATTCTTCTAATGCAACCTTAAAGTATTAACCAACTTTTATTTAGCCAGACGGGTTTTTTCACGAGTTTCAGTTATAATTGAGATAATGGCAATATACTTCTTATTTTTTCTCTGATCAATTGGGTCTTTGTTTACTCTTTTTTCTTTAGGTTAAGTTCAGTTAAACCGTTCTTGAATTTTTTATGGTTTATTGTTTTCGAGCTCTTTCTTAATGATAATAATAAATAAAATATGGGGTTGACCTTTCCCATCCTCACCCCGTCTATTTTAAGAAAAATCGGGGTATTTTTTTGTTAAAAATATTCATTTTTGTTATTCGAAACATTCCAAAAATGTTTTAAATACTATAATTTTTAATTTTTGTTATTTATTTATTTTATAATAACAATTTATTAAATGTATAGTTTCTTAGATTTGTTATCAGAAATAACAAGAAACTAAAGATGTGTTATTCATAAAAAAAATGTTCAATATTATATCATGTAATAAATTTATAATTTATAATTCAAAATATTATAATTATCAATTTGTTTATTCAACCACGTTTGAACCAAACAATACCACAATATTCACTTAATTAATGATTATATTAGTTACCTGCTTGGAACCCGTGTTTGTTTTAAACGGACAATTTTGTTTATTATAACCAGACATTTTACAAACACTACACAATTTCACATGTTTCACTTTATCATCGTTTTCATCCTTTCTTGGTTTTTTTGAAAAATCGCACTTTTCAACACAACCAACCATTTCCTGGGGCATAAACCAACTTGATGTTGTCTTCTCGGGTCTATCAAATTATCACAGAAAGAGCTTTTTCTTGTAACAATGGAAGTTAAAGATACTATCGTATTGGTGACAGTTTCGGTTATTGTATTACCAATTTGTTGAACCAGAATCTGACACGATTCTTTCTGCAGAGGAAGTTCTTGACAATGTCCCAAAAAAGAAAAAAATCGTTTTCTTGTAAACTTATCTCTTTTGATGAGAGGTACCACAGCATCCAATTGATTGTGTATGTCGTTGTGATTTATTGCCTTTTCTTCCTCGTATTCCTTTTTACACACCTTCTGATGTGTAACCTTTTTGTAACAATTTGAACTGAAAACTTCATTAGAAAAAGCACTTACAGATATTGGATATATCGACCTTTCAACACAATATTTTAAAATATGAATACACGGAACGTGTTCACATTTGAAAACAGGACAAGAGCAGTTTGTATCATTATACTCCCCGTCAGTAATAGGTGCAATTATTGTGTTTATGTTGATATATAAAAAACACAATTTGTTTACTATCGTAGATGTCAAAAGTGGCAACAGACTTGGTGGAATTAACAATTGAGCTTTTTCAATGTGTTCTAATTCGTCTGAACAGCCATTCAAAACAAATCGTCTGCTATCTGTTACTATCGTCCTTGCTATTTCAACAAGCGAAGCCTCCCTGTTACCAAACTTTTGCTTGAAGTTACCAAAATACCCTTCAATGTGATTAGTTGTCCTAGTTTGTGTATCCATCATCACAACAGATGGCAG